CACTCAGGGAATTAAAGCCACAGGCAGAATTATTGGATCAAAAAAGCAAAGCAATGTTTCCGCCTACTAAGAGGTCTTTATCAAGCATGATAAAGACCTCTTAGTGGGTGGAAACGTTGCTTTGCCTTTTTAAACCAATAAATCTGCCTGTGGCTTTAATTCAGTGAGTGCCTGAAGATTTTTTATTTATTTTTTTCCTGCAATATAAGTACTGCTATCCTACTGGTTATGGGAGTGCCAACAATCCACACTGGATGGCCTAGCATTGGAGGGGGGAGGGGGGCAAGGAATCTACCATAGTCACCTAGGGAAACAAAGGTCTGGTGAGTGAGACCCACTTTACATTTTTTTCCAGTAAAATTTAAAGGGACACTATAGTCACCTGAACAACTTCAGCTTAATGAGGTTGTTCAAGTGAGTCCTACAGCTCCCTGCAGCCTTTTTCTTGTAAGCACTGTATTTTGGAAGCTTGGAACACCTCCAGTTGCAGTCAATCAGACGGCCACCAGAGGGACTTCCGAGTTCAGAAGCCCTAAAAAGGCTTCATTCACGTCTGACGTATTCACGCATGGGTGAATACTTAAGACGTGCTATCAGCCAGGGGTCAAGTCTTGTGGAAAAAAGTGTGGGAACTCACCCAAGATTCCCGCCTCTCTCTCCCCCTCCCCTTAAAAAATAAATAAAAAATTTATGCATATAGTGCAGTGCAGGGTGTGTATAATGAATGTAGTGTGTTTGTAGTGAATGCAGAGTATGAATAATAAATGTAGTGTGTTTGTAGTGAGTGCAGTGTGAATAATAATTGTAGTGTATTTGTAGTGAGTGCAGAGTGCGTATAATGAATGCAGTGTGTTTTTAGTGAGTGCAGAGTGTGTATAATGAATGTAGTGTATTTGTAGTGAATGCAGTGTGTATAGTGAATGTAGTGTATTTGTAGTGAGTGCAGAGTGTGTATAATGAATGCAGAGTGTGTATAGTGAATGTAGTGTGTTTGTAGTGAGTGCAGAGTGTGTATAATGAATGTAGTGTGTTTGTAGTAAGTGCAAATTGTGTATAATGAATTTAGTGTGTTTGTAGTGAGTGCAGAGTGTGTATAATGAATGTAGTGTGTTTGTAGTAAGTGCAAATTGTGTATAATGAATTTAGTGTGTTTGTAGTGAGTGCAGAGTGTGTACAATGAATGCAGTGTATGTAGTGTGTTTGTAGTGAGTGCAGAGTGTGTACAATGAATGCAGTGTATGTAGTGTGTTTGTAGTGAATGCAGAGTGTGTATAGTGAATGTAGTGTGTAGTGAGTGCAGAATGTGTATAATGAATGCAGAGGGTGTATAGTGAATGCAGAGGGTGTATAGTGAATGTAGTGTGTTTGTAGTGAGTGAAGAATGTGTATAATGAATGCAGTGTGTGCGTGTGCTGGATGATGTGTGTGCGCGTGCTGGATGATGTGTGTGTGCGTGCTGGATGATGTGTGTGTGTGTGTGCTGGATGATGTGTGTGTGTGTGTGTGTGCTGGAGGAT